GGTGATTTATTCACAGTGGAGGAGCGAGTTCTGTGATCCTATGAACCCAGGAACGCGCTGCTCACGTGGCCAGTCACATGATTGTCTGCTGTAAATAAAATTAATTTTATTTACAAATGTATTCTTATTATTGTGTAAAATGTATTTAAAAATATTTATTATTATATAAAATGTATTATAATATTTATTTGATTATTTAAATCTCCTGTTTAAAAATAGGAAAATAGACCGCTATAGTTGTATATAATTATACGCGATATATATCTGTTTATAATACACATTTTAAAATTGTTTTGCATACCTGCTGCCATAATAAAGACCCATTTCGAATGTTTACGAGCTTTTCTTCTCTTTCTGCTCCCAGTCGCTGTGGTGGAGCAGTTATGAAATATTGTTCTTTTAAATACTTTCCAGCATTTGAGAAATATGTATGCAAGTTACACCGAAGTGCAACGTTACCTTACGATGTTCGGAAGTGTTCAAAAAGGGTTTAAACACAACCTTGGTGTTTGTCAAAAAACAGTAGGTAGTTCGGCCAGGGATTTTTAACGGGGGTGGTGAGAGAAAAACACCGTCATCCTGGATTCGGGCAGCATTAAAATCACCAACTACCCCCTGTAAATGGTGAAAATCACTTAAGTCCCCCTGAGAAACAATTACCATCCGAATAGGGCTATACATGATAGTGCAGACATACATAGGAATAACACAGTAGGGATGGAATATAAGACTAATATAAGAAAAAAAACAAGAAATTAAATAATGTACTATATACCGAAATAGAAGTATAGGGAAAAATTAAATTTTTTAGATTTTGTTATAAGTGTGCAGATATGTTATTTACAAAGTGTGCTGTTTACAAGTGTACACATTTTGGATTCTGTGTATAAATGTCAGTTGTGATGGACGATGTATAATTATGAAAGTTTAATTGCTCAGGCTGAATATAGCCTGTGGGGGAAAAAAATTCTTGTGTCTGGCTGTTCTGGTGGTCAGTGCTCTGTAGCGCCGACCAGAAGGCAACAGTTCGAAGAGAGAGTGGGCTGGGTGTGAGGGGTCCAAGGTGATTTTCTTAGCCCTTTTCCTCACTCTGGAGATGTAAAGATCTTGGAGGCTGGGCAGAGGGGCACCGATCATCCTCTCAGCAGTCCTGACTGTCCGCTGTAGTCTCTTGATGTCTGATTTTGTAGCTGAACCGCATTAAAATCACCAACTACCCCCTGTAAATGGTGAAAATCACTTAAGTCCCCCTGAGAAACAATTACCATCCGAATAGGGCTATACATGATAGTGCAGACATACATAGTATGTCTCTTGATGTCTGATTTTGTAGCTGAACCAAACCAGACAGTTATGGATGAACACAGGACAGACTCAATGATAGCAGAGTAAAACTGTTTCAGCAGCTCCTGTGGCAGGTTGAATTTCCTCAGCTGGCAAAGGAAGTACAACCTCTGCTGGGCCTTTTTAGCAATGGAGTCTTTGTGAGTGTCCCACTTCAGGTCCTGAGAGATAGTGGTGCCCTGGAATCTGAATGACTCCACTGCAGCCACAGTGCTGTCCATGATGGTCAGTGGGGGGAGTGCTGGGGGGTTTCTCCTGAAGTCCACGATCATCTCCACAGTTTTGAGCGTGTTGAGCTCCAGGTTGTTGTGACTGCACCGGACAGCCAGCTGTTTAATCTCCGTCCTTGATTAGGCCGATGACTGTAGTGTCGTCCGCGAACTTCAGGAGCTTGACAGAGGGGTTCTTTGAAGTGCAGTCATTCGTGTACAGGGAGAAGAGCAGTGGGGAGAGAACACAACCCTGAGGGGCGCCAGTGCTGATGGTGATAGTCCTGGATGTGAGTTTGCCCAGCCTCACTAGCTGCTGCCTGTCTGTTAGGAAGCAGGTTATCCACTGACAGATGGAGGTGGGCACAGAGAGCTGTGTGAGTTTGTCTGAGAGAAGGTCAGGCATGATGGTATTGAAGGCCGATCTGAAGTCCACAAATAGGAACCTTGCGTAATTTCCAGGTCTGTCGAGGTGTTGCAGGATGTAATGCAGTCCCATGTTGACTGCATCATCCACAGACCTGTTTGCTCTGTAGGCAAACTGAAGAGGATCCAGCAAGGGTCCAGTTATCTGAAGCAGATGAACATCAATCCTGCAAAGTTTTATTACAGTGGTTGAAAATTAAATGTCCTGTGAGTGGAGCCAAACGTTTAATTCTCCTATGTGTTTGAAAATGATGTATGATCTACACTAAACCCTACCTGAAACTTAACCGATAGTGTTAACAAAAGAAAACATTAGATAATAACACATTTCCTGAAGCAACCATGCCATTTTAGCAATTTTATCTTGACTTGTGTTTTATGGGACTCGTACCAGAGCGCTCTGCATTGCAAGTACAGTGCTATACCAGGTGAGCTACTGAGCAAGTTTACTATGCCAGATGAGCCATGCATATAAAGCTGGCTATGTGATGCAAAGCAGTTTAATTTACAAATGATGTACTGTGGTAATAGTGTTTTGAGGTCATAACATAGTATTGTGCATGGAACCGTGTGAAAATAAGTATTTATCAATCGATAATCTTTTACTGTAATCATAATTTGTGTGAAGGAACAAAAGTTGTTTTTGTTTTACCACCTCTAGTGTTCATTTCAGCTGGAAACTGCATTAAATTGTATATGTAGGTATGTTTTTGGAGTTTTGCAAAAATGTAGGTACAGGCATGTCCAGTGAGCCTATTGGTTGCTTGTATCTTAACTCATGTACAGTGAGAGTCTGTGTTTGACACTATGATGCATGCAAACTGTAATCTAGTGTTCTGTATGGGTTTAAATCAATTGCAGCCTCTTCCTTTATACCAAATGGTGTTACTGTAGAAATGGAAGCAGCTGGGATTGTCCCATGAAAGCGATTAGGATCCTGCTCAAGCAAACATCATGTGCACCGCATTGCTCATGAAATTGGATTTAGGGAACAGCAGGCAAATGCCTCAGATCATTTATCCGACTGATTGTTGTACAATTTTTACATCTTTTGAGTGTTAAGTAAGCATTCATAAATTTATTGCTATGCTCCTTATGCAAGACCTCCAAAATTTTTTGCATTGAACAAAGAGAATGGGCTTGGCCGGTCCTTTTGTCATTTTATAACACATATTTCTAGGCCTTTCTGAAATAGATGCCATCTGCAGAAGTGATCCAAAAGTGCATGAGAATCCTGCAAGTCCTTTGGTTGGTTTGTGTAGGTTTGCTGTACAAGTGGCTGTCGCGACTCAAATTGTTGTGAGATGAAACGAATCCCTCTTTTCCTGCAACCATTTTTCTGCATACCACAAACTTCATAACTTCAGTGCTGTGGGAGTCCTGTGGGCCCTGTCACTTCCTTCCCCTCTCATGGTAGAATGAATCCCTTATGTTTGTATCACCTAGCGACCATAGCTTGCTAGACTCTCGTTCTCTAACACAAACCATCCCACAATTTAATGCTGATTGAGTTTCACTGAACAAACGTGGATGACGGATATGTTCAAATCTGAAGCAGATTGTGTCATTTGACATCTAATGGTTTTGGGGCTTCAATATACAGAATGATTCCTAACTAAATGAAAGAACAAACATATTTTATGAGCTGTTTTATTGGTTCAAATATATATAGTGCAACCACAGTCTGATTCACGAATAATTGACTTAATTCATTTTTTTAAAGAATCGTTTAATAAGACTCTCAACCTCAAGGGTAAACCGTTTGAATCAGAAAAACTGTTCGTGAATCATTCCAGTCCGTTTGCACAATTCAAACTAATTAAACTTGTGACTTGGATCTTTTACTAATTTGTTCAAAAAGCCTCACAAACTCCTAAAACTCACCAGACTCGCCAGTTTGAATCAGTCTGACTATGTGAATCACAGAAACAGATTTTGTTTATAAATAAATTACTCTTATGCACCAGTTACAAATAATTCTGGCTGATTAATTCATGCCGACAGTGTGGTCCGATTCATGAAAAATAACTCTCATGAATTGAATTGTTCAAAAAGGCACTCGAACTCATAAGTAACAAGTTTGAATCAACGATTAAGTTGCCCAAACAGAACAGTCTGATTCATGATGAGTGTGTTCTTTTAATGAATCATTAAAACAAAACTCATAACTGTTTGAATCAGTCTGACTCAATCACACAAACAGAATAGTCTGATTCAAGATCAACTGATTCTTATGAGCCAGTACTTTTAAAGAATCTTTCTCAAAGACTTACAAACTCATTACTTATAAGTTTGAATCCTTCTGACTGCTTACAGTATATCACACCAACAATGTGGTCAGATTTATGAACAAATGACTCCAGTTTCCTTAGTGAAGTAAAAATGTTTGAAAAGAAGTTTAAAAAGACTCACAAGCTACAGTTTGAATTAAAGCTGCAAGCAGCGTTGAAAGGGCCCTCACAACTGGAGCCACCTCCACCCGGTGGTTTCAGAAAAACAGTGAACAGTGAGCAATATGCATTTAAAGTGGTAAATATAGGAGGAATATGTCAAAGTCATTCATATGTGCCAAAACTGCTGCCAGCTGTCGGCACTATGACTATAACTAAATTTTGGCATGTAGATGTCTTCAGGCCTGGACTTTTATCAAGTGTGTGAACTTTGGTGCAGATTGAACATGGTATGTTTGAGTTAGTATAAAACATGGCATATCCTCTTGCCAAGTGGTGGCGCTACGACTCTTATCAAATGTGTGATGTTTGTGGCAGATCGAACATTGTATGGCTGAGTTACAACAACTTCCTCTTCCATGGCAAAACATTGAATTTTGTTAGGCCGCCACAGAGCGACAACTTAAGATCTTCGCAATTTAACATCGCAAAAGCCTTGAGATTAGACTGACCAAGTATGATGATGTCATTAAATCTCAATGAGGAGTATGTTGCAGCGTAAAACACGTCGCTTTCTGTTGCCAGCCAGTGGCGCTATGACTAACTGAATATGGGCATGGGCATGTGTTCAGGACAGGACTCTTATCAAACATGTGAAGTTTGGGGTAGATCGGACATTGTATGCCTGAGTTATAACAGCTTCCTGTTTCATGGCAAAACATCAAAACTTGTCAGGCTGCCACAGACATGCCCTTCAACGAAAAGATCTTTGCAATTTAACATCACAAAGGGATTTAGATCACACTGACCAAATTTGGTGTTGATATGATTAAATCTCTTGGAGGAGTTCGTTAAAATACAATGCCTGAAAATGGCAAAAATGGCTCAAAATTTACAGAGAAAATTCAAAATAATTGACTTCCTGTTGGGTTTCGGATTTTGCTTTCGGAAAACAGAGCATGATTGGCAATATGCATTCAAGTAGGTTAATATAGGACGACTACGTCAAAGTCATTTGTATTTTCCACTCTTCTTGCTGTAGATGGCGCACTATAACTATAACTACATTTTGGCATGTAGATGTCTTCAGGCCAGGACTCTTATCAAACATTTGAAGTTTGGTGCAGATTGGACATGTGTGAGTTAGAGTAAAACATGATATTTCATGTTGGCAGCAAGTGGCGCTATGATTATAACTGAATAATGCCATGTAATGGCTTCAGACCAGGACTGTTATGAAACTTTGGTCATTTATATGTGCCAAACTTCCTGCTGTCAGTTGGTGGTGCTATGACTATAATTGAATATTGGTTTATAGATGCCTTCAGGCTAGGACTACTATACACATGACTACTACAAACATGAAGTTTGGTACAGACTGAAAATTTTATTTTAGTGTAAAACATGCCAAACTTTGTATGTTTAAGCTTGTATAAAACATGCCAGTTAATTTTGCCTGCAGCTGGCTCTATGATTATATTGGCATGGTTATGTTTTCAAGCCAAGAATTAAAGCATAAACGTGAAGTTTGGGGCAGATTTGACATTGCTTGTTTGAGTTTGTGTAAAACATGCCATTTCCTGTTGCCAACAGACCTCAAACTTGTTACATTTGGGGCAGATTGGACAATGTATGTTTGAGTAACAGCAACTTCCAGTTTCATGCCATTAATAGCTTCACAAGTTCGCACTATCATATAACGTGATTGAGCAATTAGTAGCATATTTGGCTTGCTGTCCGGAGCGAGGGCTCCGAGCTCGGGTTAAAGCCCCCCCCCCATCCCAAGAATGGGATGAAATTAGATTAGTAGTGAGGTGTTGGGGTGGAGGCGAGATGCTGGAAAACTTTCGTGGAACTGAGGTAAGTTGGCTGTGTATATATATATATATATATATATATATATACACACACGTATTGTGCTTGTTAAGGTGATTAGCTGACGAGCTCCACCTGGGCCAGAACTGATTGATTATCTGATCGTGCTCCTCCCGAACCTTGTTAATAAAACATCATATGTTTTAACAGTTATCTAAATGTTGCTAGCATGGTTTAACATGTTTCTACCATGTTGCTAGCATGTTTTGCAGTTGCTGAGAGTACATTACAGTGTAAAACATGCCATTTCCTGCTACCAGCAGGTGGCGCTATAACTGTAACGGAATATTGACATGTAGATGTGTTCAGAGCAGGACTCTAATCAAACATGTTAAGGTTGGGGCTGATTGGACATTGTATGCCTGAGTTATAACAACTTCCTTTTTCATGGCATTAATAGCATGTTTTAACATTTCGTAAGTGTTTCTAGCATGTTTAGCACTCAATGGCTTATTTCAGCATGTTGCAAATAGTGCATCACAGTGTTAAACATGTCACTTCATGTTGACAGTAGGTGGCGTTATGTGGCGTTATGACTATAACTGAATATTGGCATGTAGATGTGTTCAGGCCAAGACTCTTATCAAACATGTTAAGTTTGGGGCAGATTGGACACTGCATGCCTGAGTTACTGCAACTTCCTGATTTATTGCATTAACCCTTAAATGCATAACTCGGGTCTTTAGCGACCCAGGACGTCATTCACTACCCTTTCCCTCCTTCATTTTTTAGAGTTATACATAGTGTTGTCACGGTACCAAAATTTCAGTATTCGGTACCAATACCAGTGAAAATCCACGGTTCTCTGTACCAAAGCAAAACACAAAAACATTCTAATTGAACAACATTATTTTTATTAATAACGTTAAACAAAAATAAAATGTACAAAACTGATGCCATTCTTTATACTTATTTAAAATTGTGTTTCAAGTTTTTCCGCAAGTAATAAAAGTATGAAAAAAAGTAAACAAGTTTAACCCAAAAGTTTTTGTCATATTTCTGCTGCCGCTGAAGAACAACTGTTTTTTTTTTTTAGGGTTTGCTGAGGTGTTTCATGATCTTCCTCAGTCTGCAGCTGTAAAAGGAAAATATAATATACTTAAATACCGGGTCTTTTGACAACACTAGTTATACATCAACTTTCTTAGTATTCCTCAAGCTATTCATTATAAATAATATAACAAGAAAAAATAATAAAATATACAAACCCAATTCCAAAAAAGTTGGGACACTGTACAAATTGTGAGTAAAAAAGGAATGGAATAATTTACAAATCTCATAAATTTATATTTTATTCACAATAGAATATAGATAACATATCAAATGTTGAAAGTGAGACATTTTGAAATGTCATGCCAAATATTGGCTCATTTTGGATTTTATTCACAATTTGTACAGTGTCCCAACTTTTTTGGAATCGGGTTTGTAAAAGAATGTCTATTTTCTGTTGAATCTTTTGGTAAAAAGTGTATAGGATCGCTAGCGATCCGAGGTATGTAATAGTGTAAGTATATTTTTCCTGTGCAACAATAATTAAATATCTGATGACTCAAATGCAATTCACCTTTATTCCTCAAGGTGGCACTGTTTGATAGAGAACGATGACGTGATGTTTCACTCATAGCCTGATTACCGCAGGCATAAAACAAAAGAATATCATCAGCAAAAACTGAACTGGCTTGAATGGCTTTACTGCAGAGCAATTACTGTACGCAATGAAATATAAGCGTCACTGTCATTTGATGGTGGATGTGGTGAATAAGCTGCCAGTGATCAAAATATTGATTTTGAAGTCCCTGAAAATGATAATTTTGAGAATATGGTTGAGATCGTTAATATGAGCCAGATGCTGAATGTACTGGGCAAGTGCGCTCTGACGATGATAGTCAGGGACAGTGATGGTAAAATCATCTGCTCAAATTGAACCGTTCTAAGCTTCAAAAGGTAACCAAATATGCTTTATTTTATTCTTTTGTAATTGTTATTAAAATATCAGGAGAAATGTATGCTATTGCAGCAGTTAGAGATCCATCCGTGTTGGATATATAGGTCCGGGTCGCTAAAGACCCGAATATGTAATAATGATTGGCGAAACATCCATGCATTTAAGGGTTAATAGCATGCTTTATCACTTAGCTAAGTGTTGCTAGCATGTTGTTTTAGTATGTTTCTAGCATGTTGCTAGCCTATTTAACACTTGCTGACGCTTTTTAATATGTTGCTAGGAGTCCATAACAGTGTTAAACATGTCACTTCCTGTTGCCAGCAGGTGGCGCTATGGCATGGCAAAACATTGAATTTTGTCAGGCTAGCAGGGACACGCCCATCAACGAAAACTCAAGATCTTTGCAATTTGGCATCGTCAAGGCCTTATGATTACACTCACCAAATTTGAAGATGATCCGATTAGAACTGTAGGAGGATTCGTTAAAGTATGAAGCCTGAAAATGGCAAAAACTGCACAAAAATCATAGAGGAATTTCAAAATGGCTGACTTCCTGTTGCGTTTAGGACTTTGCTCCAAGAGACTTTTTTTTTTTTTTTTTTTTTTTAGGTATTCGGACCCTAATTAGTCTGATGTTTATGTTTTAGTGAATAAAATGGCTACTGAATTAACATCTGACTCACTGAACAGTTCATTTCGATGATGTCTGTCTCGAAATTAAGCAAGTTTGGTGTGCTTACGGAACGTGAGTATAATTTCTGATTGTTTGTTCATAATGCAATGTGTAAAAATATACATTTGCAACTTTTTTTTTGATCAATTTACACAACTTGACTGGTCATACAATAATGGATAGTAGCTACTGAAGATGAATGAGATGAGCTAGGCTTTTTTGGCTGACCAAACAGCTTGACAAGTAGGGCCACAGTCCAACAAACTAATAAAGCAATTAACGACCCACTCCATCTGTCCTCTCATTAAGCACGTCTGGTCAGATTTGCAGCCGGAGACTCACGCCTCTTCTAATCTCTCCTGGTTGCAGGCTGTTGCAGATGATAATCATTGTATGTGAGCATGAATAGGAAGAGACACACAGAAAACGTGTTGTTTAAAAGTGCCTGCTCTGATCGAAAGTGAAGCTAGGCATTCCTAAATGAGGCTGTCGTTGTTTTAATACACGTGTGGGCAGGGGAAATGACTCAATGTTCGACAGCAGAAATTATTCAACCCCTTTTACGAAATGAATATGCTTAATGGGATTTCCATTTTGGGCTCAGCTTTACTGTCCAATGCAAACCAAGAGTATCCAATCTGATCTTCACCTTCAAACTGAGTTTAAGCTTGCTAATGGAAGTCTGACAGAAACTTAATAGTTTAAACATGTTTAAACCGAGTATATTCTAATTTAGCTTGGTTTGAAACATTTGTTGCATGTCATAGCAACATAAAGCTAGTGATACTCAAATCAAATATTTCTTTTAGGATACTTCATCTAAAAATAAAAATTCTGTCATCATTTACTTACCCGCATGTCACTCCAAACTTGTAGACGTTCTTCTATGGAACACAAAAGTGTTTCAACTGTTGTTGTCGATACCATGAAAGTCAGCGGGGTCCAAAATTCAGTGTATGGACAGATTTTTCAAAATATCATCTTTTGTTTTCCACAAAAGTAAGTAAGTTATACAAGTTTGGAACAAGATCACATTCTCATTATTGTTTGGCAGGACCCCCTGTCCCACTCTTACACTTCAAAAGAGGGTCACACTTTTGAGGAGACAAACAGACGCATGCGCTTTAGTGCTTCCACTTGCCCGAAAGAGTTTTGTTCATATAAAGCCTTTCCCATGTGACCATGACACTTAGATTTAGCAAAAATGTAGCCAGGCTGAAACAAGCTACGGGCGTTTGCCATTGAAACAAGTTTTGAAAGGCACAGGGGGGTTGGTACGGTGAGTTTTCCAAATAGTTGTGTTTCTTAGCAAGACATTCTGTCCAAATCATAAATCTTATTATGAAAAATTGTTTAGGTTCAGCTGAATCCAGCCAGATTTTTTGTAGACCGGTCCTGGTTTGAGCTGAGTGCAGCGGCTTGTTCGTTGCCAGACAATGTGCTTCTGCTTTGGACTGTCTCGGAGGCAGCAGCATGCCTGGAAAAAGGAAAACATGGCACACAGGAGAGCACGTGCGGCACACTCTGGGAATGCTTAGATATCTCCCCCGGTATTTCAAAAAGGAGAAAGGAAGAGAGAAAAAATCAAGTGGAAAAAGCAGGGGGCTTCCAAACACCAACTGACACACAAAAAGTGGCGCAGTACAATGCACAGGGAGCGTCTTATTTGGTATTTCCTGTGACCACTTTTGCTAGCGGTCCACAGAGAGCGCTGAACCCTTGCTCCTGGACCTTGTCAGTATTATTTGTTGACAGACCGATGGCTGCAGGCAGTCGGGAAAATTTGGGGGGACTGATTTAGGGGTTTTTATTGCAGGAGCCAATGGCATCTGGATATTAAAGCCTTTCCTGTACCAGAGCAAAAAACAAAATTACAGCATATATCAGGAATTTTCCAACTAATGATGTGCGGATGTGGTAGCGCTGGGGAAAAGGAGTCTGACTGTGCTTTCTTTGTTCACTCAGAGAGGGCCCCATACAGCATTCCTGTAAGCTCTGCATACTTTGGCAACAATTGTGGAGTTTTTTTTCTTTACTGTATACAGTTTATGCATGCTAGAACGACTTCTGCTTTTTTGAAGTCGAATTTTATGTGATGAAAGTCGAGTCAAAGTCGACTAGTCGCTGATGACGTCATTAATGAACAAATAAGTCTGGAGCTGTGATAAACACCTTGTGCACAGCTATGGCATATGACACAGCGCTGCCCACATGGCTGTTGCTCCTATAACAGCTCTTTTATCAGTTCTTTTGTCTTTGGGCCGTTATATTTCTCACAGATTTCTGCTCGTTCTAAATCAGATACAGAAAAATCAGATGAAATGATAATCAGTGGTAGCTGAGAGCTAGCTAAACTAAAGATTACATTAATATGAATGCATTAGTGAGAGCGATTGCGTGTGTGAATTAATTCTACCTGGCAGCGTCTCTCTACTAGTAGTGAAGCTGTGGAATTTGCATGCTGCTTGCTTGGGCCTTCATATATCTTTCTCCAATCCAAACCTGGTAGTATTGTTGCCATTTTAAACCGATTTTTAGGGGAAAATCCTTGGACTTCACAATAATAGTGTCTACAGCCTGTTTGACTGGGAAGCAAAGAATGGCTCGTCCCAAGAAAAATCATGGTTGGAGGTGAGGAGGGAGGCTTGTTCAATATGACTGCAATGTGCAAGCACAGCAAACACAAAAATAGACTGTGCATTCAGTCCAACCGTAATGTATAATTAAAATATGGTATTACTGAATACCTTTTGTACCAAAATACAGTATATATATATATATATATATATATATATAAAACAATTTTACTTATTTTTTTAAATTTTAATCATTTTAAACTTTATATAGTTAAATAGTTTCTATAAATAACTTTCCATTCCATTGTGCTCTGCCTAACTTTTTTTAAACATAAGATCATCTTATGTAAATTTGCCTCTAAGTAAAGCATAGTTATACATGTAGGTCGAACTAGTCACTCATGCAATCGACCAACTAATCAGTTTTAAAAATATGTAGTTTTACACATCGTTAGTATGCAGAAGGCTTTCAGGAGCTAGCTAATGATATCACTCACTGATCTATTACCAGCTGAATAATGGGTCATCATGGAGGCTCATTTTTAGCAAACGGCATTGTGCTGTGCCAAGTTAGTGGACTTGCCCCTTTAAAAGTGTCCGGGGCGGCCTGAAAGAATGCGGATGAACGTCTTGTGTTAAAGGGGCCTTTCATCCTTCGCTTCCTTTGAGAGAGACAATGTAAACAGAGGCTCCTAGCCAACTCCATCAGCCAGGCTCATTCTGAATCACATTGTGTCTCTATTGTTTTAAACCTATTGAGGTAAATCAAAAGGAGGGGTTTGGGTAATGGGGGCTAGAGTGCATTAGCTGGAGTGGGGTAGAGAGAAGTGCAGGGTGGCCCAGAGCAAGAGTTGAGCTGCTGGGCCGTTTTGGATATGCTTGGTCAGTGGCGCTGAGAAGAGTTTCTTGGTTTCCCTCGTGCTGAGAGGGCCCACACTGTCTCACCAGATAGGAATGCACAGAATGCTCTCTTTTAATCTGGAGTCCGCCAGAACTGCTTTATCTGACCCTTTTATTAGCGGACAGTTTCAGAAAAACATGTGTAGGCTACCCTGTCGCACAACAACTAGCATGGTTAGAAACTTAGAGAGGAGGAGAGAGAGAAACTCTAAAGGCAAGCATGTATTCATGCTCAATCCAAAGTATACAGACTGGAATCTTTTCGCTGAAAGGACATTCTTTTCAAAGCAACTATTATATGCAATCAAATAAAAAGCAAACCATATCCAAAGATGAAATGTTAACCCAGTAATGGCCAGATTTTTCCAAGTATTCACGGACAAGGCCGATGCATATTTAAAGTGCAGATGAGTGAGTCATGATGTCAACTATTCAACTATTTGCATAACAACTAATTAATAAGGATGACTAGTGCATCGTTGTTATGCTATGCTATGCTGTGCTTCCGTTCACTTCTGTTCAAGTTTGGAGTTGATAAGAGTCGACAAGTCTCTTATGCTCAATGCATTTATTTAAAAAAAAAAAAACACTGTAAAACAGTAATATTGTAAAATGTTATTTCAATTTAGAAATGCAATTTATCTCTGTGATGGCAAGACTGAATTTTCAGCACCCATTACTCCAGTCCTTCAGTGTTACATGATCCTTCAGAAATCCTTCAGATTTGGTGCTCAAGATTTTCTTTTTTTATCATTATCAATGTTGAAAACAGTTGTGCTGCATAATATTTTTGTTGAAACCATGATACATTCTTTTTGTGATTCTTTGATAGAAAATACAAAAGAGTGGCATTTATTTGAAATATAAATATTTGGAACATTGTAAATGTCTGATCAATTTAATGGGTCCCTGCTGAATAAAAATATATTTAAAAAAAACTAAAAAAAATATTTCTGACCCAAACCTTAGAATGGTACCATAGTTAAAAATAACTATAACTATTTTAACTTATTATTTATTTTTTAAATAAATAATTTCTAAGAACATTCTGCTAGCTGTTTTTGAACGTGTCATGTCTATTAGAATTATTTGCACAATCTTTCATATAAACATACTGTACAATTGTCATACAAGTTGTAAGACAAGTTGGCAACTTTAGTGACCAGTGAGCCCATATTTCTATAAAAACTCCTAAAGAAAACATTGAGATAAGGCATTTTGCTCAGTGGTCACTAAATAGAAAATGACAGCATAAA